TGACAGCTTCAAGCGTATGCAATAACAACCTTTAGATCAGGAGGTGTCAAACTCAAATACAAAGTGGGCCAAAATAAAAAAATTGGTACTAGTCGAGGGCCGGACTGGTTCAATGTTTATTGCAAAACTTATTGAAATGAACTTTAAAAAAAAGTGCAAGAGGAAAAATCCATGTAAACTCAGTGTGCTGCTCTGTGATGCTAGTTCAAGCCAGATACTTGGCATCTCATCTTGGGTGCAAGTTCATCAATGTTTGGGGTCAGGCTCTGAGCGGAGGAGATCCTCAGGATTAAGTGAAGGTGTGCGTGCAATATACCATATCTAATAGTAATTAGAAATTATCCTGCGGGACGAAATTAAATCCACCACGGCCCGGATTTGGCCCGCGAGCCTTGAGTTAAACATGTATGTTTTAAGGGAAAGAAGCATTTAGATGTTCACAAAAACACAGCAGAGATAAGCAAAATATAATTACAATTGAATGTTGATTCTTCATCTGTCTGTAATGTTAAACTGTTTCTACTGTGGGTGTAGTCTCCTCTGGCCAAAGATTGATTACAGTGCGGATGCTAAAAAAAAAATGTTTTTAAAAGATTGTGAGTAATACAAGGAGTCCCAAACACTCTCACTTCCAGAAAAACTTTTAAAACGAGTGGCAGCAAATAAATCAGGTCTTACCCTTTCCCTTTTTTCAGATGATCAAAGGCCACATTGATTTTCTCCAGTGGGAGTTGGTCGGTGATAAACTCATCCAGCTTCAGCTTCTCATTCATGTAGTCATTCACCAGTTTAGGCACATCCTCCACACTCTTCCAATCTGAAGAAAAGGATAAAAACTCATGAACCACTACATAGTGGAAGTTAATAAACTCATAGAAAAGCTTTTTTCCCCCCTCTTTTGGATACCTTTTTTGTAAATTATATAATCTACCAGCATCTCCTTAGTGAACTTGTTGTTGCAGGCTTGAGTGAATCAAGAAGAAAGACTTTACTTTACAAGCTGAAACGTAAGATTAACTGAGAGGTATATGGCAATTTAGATGACCATTTTATTCTTGGAGTCATTATTTGGTCAAAAGTCTAAATATTTCACTGGTTATATCTTTGTTTTTCTGATTTATGTAATTAGAAATGTAATACTTGGTGATTAGACAACACTAATGATTTTAAGACATCACCTTAGTTCTCTGAAAACTTCTCTTGTGATTGACCTACTACCGTTGTTTAACTATTAATATTCTTACCAATTATGAACACAAATCATTAATTAAAGCCTAAATCAAAACATTAAGACCCAAACAAAACGTTTCAGTTTACATTTGCTAACATCAACTCTGCCCTAGAAATGCGACGGCTGAAACAAAACATTTTATATTTGAGGGTGGATCTTGACTTGTTCAGTCTTCATGTGAACAATGATATTTCATTTTAAGTGTTCACTTATCCTTACATTTCTTTATCATGCCACTAACAAACAATTGTTGATGAAGCATTGGCAATTGTTTTCCTTGAAGTAACAGGCCTTGTAACTTATTTTAAATTCACCTCCAAAATAAGTCCCCTTCAAGGTGCGTCCCATCAGGATCTTTTCAACCTTGATGTTTATTGCCTCAGACTCCGACCATCCGACAATGACACAGGTTCCCCAGGCATCTCTAGTGGACTCGAACGCAGAGGTCTAGGAAAACACACAGAAGCCATTGTGTCAAATAATACTCCTTTTAAAATGTATTAACAATAATCAAATTAGGATCAGTGCATACTTTTGACACACTTCTTATCAAACAATGTGTACATGCTGTATTACAAACCAGCTTGTAGTGAGAGAGTACTGATTCCCACATGATACCTACTCTACATTTAATCCTGTACACCCACCATAACAACTGGACTCCCGACACACTCCAGAGCGTAGTCCACCCCACCGCTTGTTATGTCCAGCAGAACCTCCTGAATGGTCTTGGCATGATCTCTGGGGTTGACACATTCAGTGGCTCCGAACAGTCTGGCTTTCTCAAACCTCTCTGGGTTTACCTCCACGCCAATGATCCTGCTGGCCTTAGCAGCCTGGCAGCCCATGATGGCCGCCAGTCCGACAGCTCCGAGGCCAAACACGGCACACGAGGAATCTGCCTCGACCTGGATGCACACAATGTGGGAGTCAGTCAACCAAAAGCTGTTTAGGAGACATCTGATGAGACAGCTTTATCATGTTCAGAGATAACTTTCATATAAGTATACATTTTCTTAACACATCGATTATAACATTTGTATTTATGTTATCTTTAATAGGTCGATTTTAATTTAATGCAATCATGTTTTCAAACCTAAAAACATACTGTATGTCAGATTTGTTTAAAGGTCCCATGTCATGCTTTTCTGGTTATTACCCGTCCCCTTGTGTGTTATGAAGGTTTTTCTGCATGTGAACGGTCTGCAGAGTCAAAACCCTCAAAGTACACCCTGTAGGGAGTAAAACTCTAACACAGAAAATACCTCCCCAAAACGCCTCGTTGAAGATACTGTCCATTGATTCTTCTTCTTCTTCTTCTTCTTTCGTGTTTATTGGCGGTTGGCAAACCAACTTGTAGGTGCATTACCGCCACCAACTGGACTGGAGTGTGGAAAAGAGACTAAACAGAAAACAATAAACAAAAGAAACAAAACAAAGAACGAAAACTCTAGATTATTTTAAATTTATCAAATTTTCTCTTAGAAACTTAATAATCTCACAATATATATTGCCTGATGTTTTCGCTAACAGTCCTGATAGCGACAAGTCATGGAATTTTGCTTTCTTTAGTGTCTGGAAAAACTAATTTCTCTGAGTACTATATTTCCTGCAAAGCAGTAAAACATGCTCAACAGTTTCTGGCTGGCTACGGTGTATACACTTTCCGGTTGGATGCTTTCCTATTATACTTAATGTATGATTGAGAGCTGTATGACCTATTCTTATCCGAGAAATGACACTTTCCTCCCTTCTTTTAAACCCCACCTTCCTTCCATCCCCCACATACCTTTGAATTTTATAAAGATGTCTTCCTGTATCACTAAGGTCCCAATGATCTTGCCATGTTGTGCATATTTCTGTATGAATGTTTTAACCTCC